GTTTAAGGTGTCGGGGTGTCAGTGTAGGGTATTATGAATAGTGTGTGTGTGTGTGTGTGTGTGTGTGTGTGTGTGATTCTCTCACTCCTCCCTAACTCTCCTTTCTCTTACCCTGCTCTCTTATCTACCCTTCCTCCCCTGTCCCCCATTCCCTTTCCTAGTCCCCCCCCCTCTTCCTTCCCTCCCCCCTCCTTCCCCCATCTCGGCGTGGTAGGTTCAGTGACCCACAGAAGTCACCACAAAATACTAAACAAGAATTAAGACAACTCTCGATCAATGGTGGACCCTAACCTGCCTCCCCTGTAGTGGTGATGACACACACACACACACACACAGAGAGAGCACCGCGTAGGATAAGGGCGTGGAGAAAATATAATTAAGGAAAATACCTGTGTGCTGTGATAAACCTAATTACAGGTAAGTCGGTACCAGTTTGTGCCCTCATGAACGTGTTTACGATATTCCACACCTTTATCAAGTATCACAATAATAATAATAATAAACATACACACTTCCCTTCACCCATTCAACAGGTTTAACTCACCTAACCTCCACACACCTGGCACCAACAGGTGGATTGAGAGGACAACAGTACAGTAGCGCGAGTCAGGTGTGGCATTAAGACCCTACGGTACACACCTGTTAATTAATAGTGTCTCATCAAGTAGAACTATTATTGTTGTTCTTACTATTGCATTTGTTGTTGTTTCTGTTATTATCCATACATGCTATTTCTTCATTATTATTATTATTATTATTATTATCACTCTTACCTCGTTCGTATACAACACAACCATGACCCAACGACAACACCTGAACCACGCAAGACACACATAAACGCATACACAAAACAAAAAAACACACACACAAATATACACAGATACAAACACACAAGCGGGTGTTTGGGACGACTAGAACTCACGTGTTTTAAACAAGTCAGTTCCAGGAAGTGGTTATTGTATTGTTGTTGTGAATTACTGTAAATAATAAAAAAATAATAATAGCCTCATTCTGTTTTAAAAATACATATACACACACTCACTAAGATAGCAGCTAAAGTGACACTAAGAGAGCTTAATTACAAAGATGACGATGATGATAATAATAACCATAATAATAACAATAACAACAACAACAACAATAATAATAATAATAATAATAACAATAATAATAATAATACAGGTAATTATAATAAGTATTGTGAGGTAATTGGTTACAACAGGTGGGTGGGACAGTGTCATGAACCAGGACTGTTTACTGCCTAAGTGTTGCAGGTCACGAGTAACTGTCCCCACCCACCACCACTTACACCCACCAGCCCTCACCCACCGCCACTCGCCCCACCCCACCACTCACCCTCACCCACCACCACTCGCCCTCACCCACTCCCACTCGCCCCCCACCACCTCCACCACCACCTCACCCACCACCACCACCACCACCCACCCACCACCACCACCCTCACCCACCACCACACCCACCACCACCACCACCACCCCACCACCCTCACCCCACCACCACCCTCACCCACCACCACTCCCCCTCACCCACCACCACCACCCTCACCCACCACCATTGCCTCACCCACCACCACCTTCCACCCACCACCATCCACCCCACCACCACCTCGCCCCTCACCCACCACCACCATCTTCACCCACCACCATTCACCCCTCACCCACCACCACTGCCCTCACCCACCACCATTCACCTCACCCACCACCACTGCCCTCACCCACCACCATTCACCCTCACCCACCACCCACCACCCACCACCCACCACCACCACCACCACCCCCCCTCACCCACCACCAGCCTTCACCTCAACCACCACCACTGCCCACTCACCCTCACCCACCAGCCCTAGCCCTCACCCACCACCACTCGCCCTCACCCACCACCACCCATCTTCACCCGCCACCACTGCCCTCACCCAATCACTCACATCATCCACACCCACTCACCCACCCACCACCACCTGCCCTCACCCACCACCACTCACCTCACCCACCAACCACTCCCCTCACCCACCACCACTGCCCTCACCCACCACCACCTGCCCTCACCCACCACCACTGCCCACCCACCCACCACCCTCATCCACCCACCTGCCCTCACCCACCACCACTGCCCTCACCCACCACCACCCCTCACCCACACCACCACCTGCCCTCACCCACCACCACTCCCTCACCCACCACCCACCCACCACCCGCCACCACTCACCACCACCACCACCACACCCACCACCACCACCACCACCCCACCCCACCACCACCATCACCACCACCACCCACCACCACCACCACCACCGCCCTCACCCACCACCACCACCCATCACCACCTCACCCACCACCACCTCCCTCACCCACCACCCACTCACCCTCACCCGCCCACTCACCTCACCCACCACCACCACCCTCACCCACCACCCTCACCCACCCACCACACCACCCACCACCACTCACCCACCACCTCACCACCCACCACCACCACCCCCACCCACCACCACCACCCCACCCACCACCTCACTCACCCACCACCCACCTCACCCCACCCACCACACACCCTCACCCACCACCACTCACCCTCACCCACCACCACTCACCCACCACCCACTCACCCTCACCCACCACCACCTCACCTCACCCCCACCCTCACCCACCAACCACCACTCCCCACCACCACTCACCCTTAACCTCACTTCGCCAACCCACCACCACCTCACCACCTCACTGCCTCACCCACCACCACTGCCTTAACCTCATCTGCCCACCCATCAGCCCTCACCAAGGGGGCATCAACAAGCAGCACACTAAAACTTTATTTTCTTCCCTCCATCTAACAATAAAAAAGACAAAGAATCAAGTCACGACGGTTTCAGTGCGAACTCGATGCCAGTGTGTGTGTGTGTGTGTGTGTGTGTGTGTGTGTGTGTGTGTGTGTGTGTGTGTGTGTGTGTGTGTGTGTGTGTTAGTCTGAAATAAATGAAAGATAACCTGAAAATTAGGCACCCCACCTAATTTTACCCGAAGATTAACCAAGGTAACACTGCCTGGGGGGAGGGTTTAGGTTTAAGTTAAGTTGGGTTAATAAGCAAGAGAAATAAGCTGGGGTGACTAATCTTCGGGTGATCCCAGATGTGTTCTTGTATCTTCAGTTAGGAGAGAAAAGTTAACATAATAAACCATTGAGAATCTTCCTCTGTGTCTTAACTTAATGCAGGGAGTTTTGTCTCATAAATGGACCAGTTAAATTACTGACCTTGTTATGTGCTTAAAGACCTTTGTTGGTGAAGCACTGCAATGACATTATAACGTCAACGTCTTAGCGTAAGTGAGGTGGATAAGTTCTCGCATGTCTAGTTACAAAAAAATTAACGTATGAAACTTTAAGATTCCAATTTCATGTTGTAGCTTAAACCAAGTAATGAAATAAGTCCTTGCATATCCAATTAGGGGATAATGTAGCCTACGAAGCTTCTAGAATCACTCTTCATGTCGTGACTAAGGTGATTTGGTCACTCAGATGATTATTAATCACTACCTTTAAGTATGTCATTTTACTGTAATAACATCTTTCCCAACCGTTAATAACACAAATGCTAACCGGAACTTAGTTAAAATATACAGTACAGTATATTACTCATTGTCACTGTAGTAAAGAATATTGTGTTAGTGATTTACAGTAGGTAAGCCACAGCCTATCATCCCCAGTCTCTTAAAATCCTCCCTGGGTCCTTTATCTTAACATTTGGTGACGGAAATGTGGAGGGAGAACATGTGTACACACGCCATACCATAATGTAAATGGATCATGGGACATACACATACCACACCGTCCCCAGCTAAGTATACACTACCGCAGTGGTATGAGGTGAGCAAACACAGCCCTTACCCCCTGATGCTCCATGTCCAACCCGTGTCCTTAACTAAACATGCCACACATTATTCCTTAACGGGTCGTGTCAGCAAGCTCATCATGATGAGCTATAAATAAGGCTTTAAGTGAGGCATTACACAACAGGGAGCCCTATCCCCCCCCCCATACTTACCATGATTAGTTGCACCATTAAAAAAAAAGATATACTGTATATCAACACCATTAAATATACTGTGCTGTGATACAGGTACAATAATGAAAATGTGAAAAATTAAGCAAGGAATTTTAATACAGTATTAAATTATTAAGATAATATACAAAGCAATAGTAAATGTTAATATATACTGTATGCCCACATTCCTACTGTGGACTTTTAATCTTCGTGACAAACAGAAAAACTACATGTCAATAAACTTAACAAGTTCATGATAAAGTCAATAACTATCAGTCATAAGCCATTACACGCCCACATGGACACAATCACACATGCACAAATACATGTACACACAATCAAACACGTATACACAATCAACTACTGTAGTTGGCCTACATACATACAGACAAAAGTCTATGAGCTACACATCTTTCATCAGTTAAATACTTTACATGTAACTTACAAACTAACAAAAGAGAAAGGCACGTAGCCTATAGTTAATATAATATTGCCAACACACTGAGTCAAGTTACTGTTCAGCTAAGTTGAAAGTAAGTTAAGCATAAATTTAATTTAGGTTACTTTTAAGTTATCACATTGCATTAGGCCAAGTTAGGTTAGGTTAATGTAGGTTTTGGGAAAGGTGAAGTTAGGTTTAGGTTAGGTTATGTTATATTGCCTGACATGTACTGTGGATATAACCCAAAAATTATGAAACAAAATCAACACAACACTGAAAGGAAGATTCACTGGGGTCACTGGTTTGCACCAGAGGCATCCCTAGCCAACCCTGCTGTTTATGGGTACCTATCTTTTCAGTTGGGGTCGGTGAAGGCGGTTCAAGTGCTGTCGGCCACACTGCCTCTAACTTCCATCAAGCTTATGGAACCATCTTGTTCCTTTTTCACTGTGCAGTATATTGTGGTATTTTGGTTTCTTTAACTGTTGACACGTCATCTTACAGATTCAGAGAAACACTGTCTGCCACAGGACCAAGTTATGTGAATGGTGTGGCAGCAGCTCAAGGCAGTGTGTGGGAGAGGAGAAAGTGAGGGAAGTGTGAGGGACAGGAAGAAGTGAGGGCAGTGTGAGGGACAGGAAGAAGTGAGGGCAGTGTGAGGCACTTGGTGTAAGATAGGGCTAAGGACAATCACCATGGCAGAGAGAGACGAGAATGGCCGCCTGAAGCTGCCCAAAGACGGGTACATACCGTTCCAGAGGGTCCTCAACAGGTCCAACAGAAGGTGAGCCACTGTCTGTATACCCAGTAATATATGTCTGTTCTCTGTAAAATCTTTGTCTTAATACTTCATAATATCTCTCATTATCTTTATACCCAGTAATAGATCTGTACTCTGTAATAACTCTCTTTCCATTACTGTACTCTATAATATATGTCTTTGTACTATGTAATACCTCTTGATACCTTTACTCTGAAATACCTGTATATGTCTTTGCACTCTGTACTATTTCTTAGTCTGCATATTGAGTAATATCATACCTCCTACTACTCTATCTTTATACTGTACAGGTATCCTCACTATACAAATGTCACGACTAATATTCTATTCTATTACACCTTATTCACTACACTATACAGAAGCTATTCTCGCTTATACAAATATGGTCCATTAAGGAACCATGCATCTAGTTGTTATACAGTACAGTACTGTACTGTACATATGTTTACTGAAAACACTACAGTACAATAATGATGGACCTTGTGGTACATCCCTCGCTTGGGCTCACCTGTTCCACCTAACAATATCTATATCTAAATATTTTCTATGATTTAACTGCAATTCTCTTGATTCATCTGTGACTCTTTATACAACTCTACACATGGGGCTACTCTATCTCCTCCTCGTTTTTTTCTCCCTTTCTTCTTTTCAGGGTGGGGTGTGCATCACAAGGTGCTCTTAGTCCACTCCACAGTCCTCCCCCATCTGGGCGGCTCTTCTGCCGCTGTCATCCACCCTCCACTCATTCCAGGTCTCATTTCACTTTGTCTATCAAATTGTTTTTATTTAACTCTTCTCCTCCCATACTGTATGTTCTGCTTGCCAGCCTCTCTTCCTTCCACACTCTCATCGCCAGCTTCTCTTCCTCCTGCCTTCCACCTCCTTTGTCCACGCTCTCCTCCTTCCGCCCTTCACCACCTTCTTCTATGCTCTCCTTGCCAGCCACTCCTCCCCATTTGTTGTATATGTCCAGCCCACCTTAACCTATTGTCAACCATTTCCAAAAACCACCTCCTTGTGGAAATAAGACACAAGTTTATATAACCCATGGCAGGGACTATATACCTTGAGGTCAAAGGTCAGAATAATGGGGTCATGTAGGAATGGGTGTGGATGAGGGTCTCAGAAGAATATTTTAATCAGGAAACAAAATTAACTTCTGTGTGAATTACAGTCAGATTATAACTTACAAAAATGTCATCTTAACCAAACACAAGTTAGTTTAAGATTGCAAAAATGTCAGGAGCTCAACACAATAGTGTAGTCTAGTTTTACAGTTTACAGAGAACTTAATAAAAAGGTACAATATTCAGTGGCGTTTATCAGTCAGCAAATAGAAACTTTTGGATTATCTGAAGATTAGTTCCCAGCTTATTTCACTTGAAGATTATCCACCCTAATACTACTTGGGGGTGAAGGTTACAAGTGTTCCCTGAAGAATGCAGTGATGGGTAGGGAAACACCGGGTAACACTGAAGTCCATTTATTTGGATAGGAGAAATACAAGCGGTGACTAGCGTGTGCCATGCACGGCTCACACAGTCAGACTGAGACTGCCTTGCCATATGGCAGCCTCGGGGCAATGTTGCCACATAACACGTGCAGTGTTCCACGTAATTATATACATAGGTGCTACTCGGCACAGTAGCTTATATACAAGGTTGCTACTCGGCACAGTAGCTTAGATACATAACCTACAGGGGGTAAGGTTAGTTTAGGCTGGGATAGGTTAGTTTAGGCTGGGTTAAGTTAAGTTAGGTTAGGCTAAGTTAGGTTAAGTTAGGTTGGGTTAGGTTTGGTTAAGTTAAGTTGGGTTGGATTAAGTTGGGTAGAGCTAAGTTAGGGTAGATTAGCATCAGGTTGATTAACCTTCAGGTGAAATAAACTGGATGTTTAATCTTTTGGTGAGTGAAAAATAAAATTTATGTTTTGTGCTTGGGCACAGTTCACGTCAGCAGTCACCTGCCAGCCGCAACAGCCGGGAACCCAGCCAGTGGGGCAACAACAGAAGTGGAGGAGGCAGCAGCAGAATCTCCCACAGCCACTCTTACAATAACTCTGGCAATGACCACCAACACGCCAAGCCCGATGATGTGACCCGCAGCCTGGGCAAACTGAACATCGAGCGACACAGGAAGGAGAGGCGCCGCAGCCTGACAGATGCCCCCCCGGCCATGCCCAAGATGCCCTTCATACCCTTCCAGCGGGTGCAGCTCAGACGCAGGACCACATTACCCCCGCCCAACAATGAGTTCAGGCTCAGCAGCTTTACGTATGTATTGGCTAGGCCAATTACACCTTCTCCGTCAATCACAGTTTGTCTTGACCAATCACAAAAGCCTCTTCTGACCAACCTATAGCCTGTCCTGGCTAATCACAGCCTGTCCTGACCTACCACAAAATTCTGTCCAGATCAATCATAGCATGTCCTGACCAATCAGAGGGTGCCGTGACCAATCACAATCAATTCTGGTCAATCACAGCCTGTCTTGACCATTAACAACAGTCTGTCTTGACCAATCACAGCCTGTCCTAACCATTCCCAACAGCTTTTCTTGACCAATCACAGCTCTGGCAAGTTCATGTCCAGGACCAGTTTGGCTAATGATTGTATAATTGAACACTCCCCTAAATTATCCCACTAGACTGTACAGCAACGTTCTCATGTATGAATTACATAATTAAAACACTTGAAAAAAAAGTAAGCCTTGTCAGGTAAATCATTTAAGGATATAAAAATTTTCCCCAATTTTGTAAAAATTTCTGAGTTATCACAAAAGTTATTTAGGTAATTAGCTGCACTGTACTGTACTCCTTTTCCTTCCCTCCCCATCTCTCTTTCCCATCTTCCTCCTTCCCCTCCTCTTTTCCCAACACTTGTTCTCCTCCTTCCTTCCCCTTTATCCTTTCTACCATCTCTCTTCCTACCTCCCACTCTTCTCCCTTCCTATCTCCCACTCTTCTCCCTTCTCTTACCCTTTACTCACCCTACCTCTTCCCATTATAAAAGTGATTCACCACCTTACGTCACCCAGGGTATCATTAACCTGCAATAATTACTAAGTGCACCAAGGGGACTGCGGCCTCACATTAGCAGGAGTGAAATTATAGCAACAATAAAACATGACTGTAATTTACTACCATGAGAAAGAATAGGAAAAAAGAACAGTGCTTAGGAATTTTTTTATCTGCATTGTTTTTGTTTGTGTATTAAAATATGAACTTAGTTTTTGGACTTTAAACTTTTTTATAGTTTGAACATTTCTTCCAAATTTAAGACTGTTTAGTAAAATTTATATACACTTTCATTAATATTTAAATGTGTGTGGGTTACAATTCAAACGTGATATTTGTGGACTAATCATAAAAGCCTATCCTGACCAACCACAGCCTGTCCTGACCAATCACAGCCAGTCCTGATCAATCGCAGCCTGTCTTGACCAACCACAAAACTCTGTCCTGGACAAATGGGGCCCAGCCCTAGTATACAGTATCTCAGTCTTAATATGTTCCATTCATAATAGGTCCTGTGGAGTATTAAAATAGGGGGCCCATTAGGACTGTACAGCCCTAATAAACCCCAGTCCTAATAGTTCCCAGTTGTGATAGGTTCCAGTCTCAATAGTTGCAAGTCCTAAATAATCAAACTTATTCAGTCTCTTTTAAGTCTGAGAGCAATTAAGGAAAGAAAAGGATATGAGTAATTAACAGCAAATGCTCTTTGTTCTGAATAAAATGTTCAATTACATTCTGTGTAACTTCAAAGCTACAATTAAAATAACAACCAAGCTATCATGGTGACAGTAAAACAAGCTCAATGTTTACTACCAGTACCAGCAGGAAGAAAGAAAGAGCCCAAGTGCTTTATTTAGATTTTTTTCCTGCATATTAACAACCACAATGTCACCTACAAATACATTAATAAATAAAACAAATTAACTATAAAATCAATGTCACTCTTGTTCAGTGTACAATTCCTTGTAATACTGTAGTATACAAAAATATATCATGTATCCAATTGAATATAATATTCTGTATGAGTACAGCACTGTGTATAACTTGTATTCTTGGTTAGCATACATGACCTGAATCAGTGACATATACTTGTATCACAGTGAGGAGCGAGGAAGGAGGCTCCAACGCTTCAACAACACCAGTAGTATGAATCCTGGTGACCCTTTCTCCTCGGAGTACAACACCAATTATAAGTCTCAAAAAAACAAACTTAGAGCCAGAGAGAAGCCCTCGCGCCACAAAAATGTCTCTCAGATTAACAATGTAATAAGGGACAAAGAGACACTGAAGTGGCAAGAAGGATACCGCATGGAGAGGAGGGACAGCGAAGACCACAACTACACACATGATGAAGAAGCGTCTCACGAAATAGAGGCAAATGGTGAAGTGTTGGATGGAGAGAAAGGTGATGAAGAAAGCCACCACTCTGCAGACAGCAGGCAATCACACCAAGGATCTAAATATTCTGCAGTTTCCAATGACCGCGAGGAGACTGGGTCTGGTCACGATGATAGGGCTGCCTCTACCTCCTCATCTGTAAAATTCCCTCAGATCAGGGAATCTTCGTTGACAGCATCAGACAGTGCACGATCTGTACAAGGCTCTGGTGCTGCTCCTCCCCCAAGAATGCCCAGCCTATCATCGCCCAATGGCTCTCTGAGGTCCACTTCCCAGAGGCCGCTGTCGCAAACCACGGTGCAGACCAAAGACTCATCACGATGGGTGGAGGGCAAAGGAGCATGTCGAATGAATCTGTTTTTTAAGATTCCTCGGCCGCCAACAGAAATCACACTCAATGAAGATAAAACCTCAGCACAAAACAAAGACAGCAATGACATAACAACTTCAGAACAGAACAAAGATGACAAAGATAAAATGAGTCTAGTAAAGAGCAAAGATACAACAAGTCCAGAAGAGAACAAAGACACAACAAGTCCAGTAGAGAACAAAGACACAAGTCCAGTAGAGAACAAAGACACAACAAGTCCAGAAGAGAACAAAGACACAAGTCCAGAAGAGAACAAAGACAGCAACAACACAAATTCAGTACAAAACAAAGACAACAATAACACAAGTCCAGAAGAGAACAAAGATGCAAGTCCAGTAGAGAACAAAGACAACAATAACACAAGTCCAGTAGAGAACAACAAAGACACAAGACCATCAGAGAAGTCAGCACCATCAATCAGGTGTTGTGACACAGCTCGGTGGGTCGAGAAAAAAGGAGCAGGTCGACTTCGTGAAAGTTTTCAGCTGCCCAAAGTTGGCCACATCAAGAATGATCCTTTACCTCCTCGACCCACATCCCCAGTGCCTCAAAACAGTGACAAATCTGTATCTTGCAAGAAAAACAAGACCACAGTGGGTGACAAATTAAACACAACCATCAACTGTACCGGAGCACCAAGAAATACCCTCTCCCGCTCTGTGAGTGACTCAGTGCTGTATCTCCCCAATACACATGTCAACAACTACAACACACAAATGAGGATCAGGCAAAGAACAAATGAGGTTACACTATTTAATGAGAGGGCGATGGGCATCTCAATTAATAAGGGGGCGAGGGCTAAAACAGCATTGCCAAGAATTATCCTGACTTTACCTGATGATGTGCATGGCAGCCATTCCCGACTGAGGAAGCCCCAAGACACTGCCACTGAGAAGGGTGCACAGAAAGGCAGCAAAAGGATGACAAAAGTCCTGAGTTTACCCAATATCCAAGCCAAGGTTAACCTGCAGCCACGACCACAAACCGCAAGGCTACGAAGAGACAGAAGACAACAGGTACCAGATCATCAACAAATGGACGGTCTGTCCCACAATAAACTATCAGTTCCCTTGCACATAAATAAAACACCAAAAACTGAAAAGAAAATACCAGTAACCAAGACATCCAATTTTACTCTTGAGACAACAGCACCACAAAACAGACAACGGTCAAGGAGGCATCTTACAAGACGAAACTCGGACACCTCAGTACTGAGACAGAAGCCATACCCTACAACTCGGAGAAGAAACTCAGTGCCCACTGTCAGCAGGCGTAGCCGGCGTTTCAGCAAAAGTCCTCGAGCATCAGCCAGGAAGAGTTATGAAGGCCAGGAGCTGACAGGGCCAGAGACTTTAACATGGAAGAACCAAGAGGTGCAGCAGGGGGCTATGGTCAAGTCCCACATAGAGGCCATTCAGCTAGAAAGACAACAAAGAGAACAGCGCTTCACACACTTCCTGGGACCCTCAGTCACCAAGCCAGGTTGGTACAGGGTACCTCCTTCACTCTTGCCTCAGCTATACAGTACACTGAGACTATATAAGATATATTCCATTTACTGTTTATATATTCACAACAAGTGTTTTAGAAACAACAAGTTGTTCATACGACACCTGTACGGTTGCAGCCTTTTCATGTGCATATGTTATTGAGAGTTTGGTTTTCATAACTAATTTCACTAAGTACAGTACTGTACACTACAGTATTATATACAGTACAGTACTCAGATAATCTGAAATTATTTTCAAGCAATTTCTCAGAGAGTTATGTGTATAACTCATCAATGTTAGCTCCAATATTTTTTCAAACAAAGAATGCTGGTAGTGTATAAGTAAGGATGAAAAAAGAAATAATAATTTCAAAGATATCACCAAATTCTAATTCATTACTTTTGTCATGTGAGGCGTTCAGCATTAGAAGGGGGTGAAGCGCCAAATTTATAGTGGAGAAAATGCATTTTAAGTTTTTCCAAGTTCAAACAACCATAACTTTGTTGTTTTTTAAGCTAGAGGGTTCATTTTTTTATCGTGCAGCTCAATCCCTCTCCTAGTGAACTGTGAAAACTGGAAGTTAGAGCAATACTGTGAATAGTTATTATTTTATCGCGAGTTGAATGAGAATAACTACCCGTGATGTACAGTTGTTTGATCTTCAAACCAACAATACTCGCATTTTTCTGCACAATTTTCTTATCATTGTGGACAAATACTGTAAAACAAGTTAATGATCACCAAAAACAACACTCCTCATCTTACAACTCCCCCCCCCAATGAAATAATAATAAAAAACTCATTTGCCTATCAGTAGCCAAAGATTTATAATATTGTTAAGTATAATAGTGTGTAGGAAACACCACTACACTCCCCCCCCCCAATGTAATTAACACAAATACAAAGGCGGAGAAAGTTTGCATAATCTTTGGTAAAAACAGTACAGGTATTATGATACAATCTTACTTTGTTTAGTTCCTTTGTTTTATTATCCCTGAAGATCGTAGAAACTTGAAGTTACGTAAATCCTGAGGAGTGGGTATAACTTTAATGGTCTTGTCATAATCAAATTACATTTACGTTTGGCAACCTCCTGTGCCCAGTCGTCAACCCAATGCTGTCTCATCCTGTCTTTTTATTCTAAAGGGCCTTGGGGGGTACGCTCCTGACCCCTGCAATCTGCATCACATGGTGCTCCACCAACAACTAGGCTCCCCAACATCACCAAGTAGCTCATCACCAACATTCTCACACACTTCACCAGCACCATCGCCAGTAGCACCTGCATCACCATAATCACCACTAAATTCACTATCACCAAGCATGGCTGGGGTGTCCATGTGAGTACTGTCGTCACTAAACACATGCTCAGGAATAATGGGCTCCTGAACCCACACCAGAAGGTCTGGCCTCACTCGAGTCTTGCTCTAATATCAGGCAGATATTGCACAGCAATTCTCACACCTGTGGAACTCAAATAACGTCAAAGTTACGCCAAATAATTATCAAAAATAGCAGCAGAAAATACACTGAACTGCCTTATGCTATACAATGCACCAAAACTAACAAGGAGGCATCATCTTGGCATGGGGATTGGCCGAGGAGCTGTGACGTAGCAAGGTAAATCCATTGTGATTGGCTGATTCAGGGTCATGGGTCAAAGGAGCAGCGCTGTCGTGGCTGCGCTCTTCTCGCTCTCGGGATATTCATTACTAGAATAAAATGACCTATTTTTGGACTTTCAACATTTCTAGCTAGGTTTATCCAACACCAACATAAGGAGGGTGAAAATAATGATATCCATAAAAATGCATTTTGCGGTGTGGCGCTTCACCCCCTTCTAATGCTGCATGCCTCCATGTAAGCCTTCAAAAATGTGTGCAACTGTGATACTATGTGAATATAACACTGAGAAGAGGTGAGCAGGTAGCAGACCCCCTTAACCAGCAGCAACACCTCTTAGTCACTCCCATGTCTAACTCCACCACACAACCTCTTCTTGATGCAGGACAATCCCACCAGCCGGCCAGTGACCACAGCCAGTTTCCTCACAAGTGTGTCGAGACTAAGCTCAGGTGAGAATCAGCTCCATCGTCATACCCAATCATATCACCATTAATTTTCTCGTGTTTATATGTACTCCCTGTCTCTCTTTTTCCCAGAATGAAGGATGTGTTTCCAGGTCACCCAGCCATGTGCCTGAATCGCCATCCCTCACTGCCTACTGAGCCTCTCCTCCCATCCTATATCCTGCCCTCTATGTGACATATACATCTTGGGTATCATCTCATCTGACGCTGTCTTCCTGGCGCCTTACACTACCTACTTTATCATGTCACTGCCTCACTCCTACTCAGTGAACTATCACACTAGTTACTGTATATGACAAATCTTAATGAGTTTCAATGTATCCCATACATCTTCCTCATCTCTAGGTACCCCAGCATTCTTCCCATCCATTGGAATCAGTATCCTCCAACTCACTCCCACCATCACTTATATACTCTCCTCTGCATGCCTTCCTACCCTTTTTGCCATCCTCCCTCAGCACACAGATCAGGGAGTTTGGGGTGGACCCAAAGAAACTTTGGAGGTGATCACCTTGCACATGGAGAGGGAACTGACCCTACTCAAGAGGCTCAGGAAAGATGTCTCAGGACAGGGAATGTGGGTAGCCTTACTGACACCTGGATGGGATATCTTACAAGTGGCTGCAACCTGATTTACCTGTGATGCTGAAGTTATAGTTTGAAACACCCAAACCTGGGATATGGTATGAGGTAAGTAATTAGAATACAGTACTTTGTATGCTTATGTGAAATGTGTGTGTGTGTTAGTACAAAAATATCCCATGAAGTAACCTCCATACTCCCTCCAGGTGATGGTGGTACAGGAAGGCAGGAAACAGCCAAGAGTTGTCACAACAGAAAATGGTTTCAACATGGAGGAAAGCACTCTGCTAAATTCAAGAGTCTGTACACAAAAAATATAAAATTTCCCTCTGATTTGTACCAACATATCAAAGTGAACACAAAAGTGCATTATTTTTATAGCAAATTCATGTGAGTTGTGTTTATGTGGAATATGGTGGAAAAAGCTAAGTGTTGTAGAAAAAGAATGACAACAGTTAAACAGCATACTGTACTCCACAAAGTGTACACCAGTTATGGTGACAAATACTGTACAGTTATGTGTAACAATCAATAAACATCAGGTTGTAGACACCTGTACGTGTGGGGCCCAAAGTGTGTGTGTGTGTGAGTAGCACGACTACCCACTGATGCTGTGAACCATCACTACGAGAAGTCATGGTAATTAGCAAAAAGGAGAATTTATAACTCACTTAAAGAAGTGTGAATATCCCATGTAAACAATTAAAACTGTTATATACATCCACAAGTATGGTCCTCAGTCAAAACAAAATCTGTGGACATAGCAACAGATATATCCAGGTGTGTGACCAATCCTCCAGAGTATTTACTGAGACCCTGATGGATACAACACACTATACTTATGGGTTACCACATGTCCATGTCCTCAACTTTTGGTATGGGATTTTGCCCTGTGTTTCAAACAAATTTAGATATGCTTATATAGAGCCCTGTAGCAGTTGCTTCTTGAAGAGCAATCAACCACTATCGATAAAGATGCAAACTACAGAGAGGTATGCTCGGGCACATCAGGAGGAAGAGGACTGAAGGAGGACTGGTGAAAGGGAGAGGCTCACTACATGTAAAGAGGTACTTTAAAATTTAAATGATTATAACATTTATTAATGAGGCCATAAAACTTGTTCTTATTTATAGACACTCAATGTAAACGACATGTAGAACACAGAATATTATAAACTGTACTCACATTGTATACTCACTGTTACTCATTGTATATGCTCATGTTATATTACTGTTATACATAACATATTAATACAATGTGAATTGGTAGTTACTGATATACCGTATATACTGAGTCTATAACCTCGTTTATGGAATTAGACCCAGGTTTTTGACCAAAAAATGGTAATTTCACGATATTCCTCGTTTATAGTTAGACCCACGTTTTTGAGGGTATTGGAACAACAAAACCTTCACTAAAACACTCTACGTCCTATAAACTGAGGCTTGCCGTGCCTGAAACACGAGTGCGAAGGCAAATTGTTTACCATATATTATTACGACCACTTTACACAAACAGCGGGTAGTTTCAACAAAAATATTATATTTCCATTCAAGTATTTATTCAAGTCAATTGAATATTGTAATACAACAGTTTTAATTAAACCATTCAAGCGTTACGGTACATCTTTGAGCGAAAGCGAAAGTCATTGTTTTTTCGACGATTTTATCCACTTTCACTGTAATAAATCGTAATTTCCTAAAAATATTACATTTCGTGAATGTATTATATCAAGCACAGTATGAATAGAATATCATTGTAATATAACAGAATTTTAACCGAAAACTAGTAAAAAAACGAATAACATCTCAAGAACATCGGAAGCTTAGGTAAAGTTTTTTGTTTTCGTCATGTATTTTATCCTATTTTACATTGAAATACATCACGTTTCAGCAAAACTACTATTTATTTCCGAGAATATATTCATTCAGGTGCAGTTTAGGTAAAATATACGTGTGATGAAACAGTTTTTAACTGAAAACGATTCAAAAAACACGTACCCTCTAGCCCTGTTCAAGGAGAGGACTGGGAGAAGCTGTTTGGTGCTGCAGACGATGACAAGGAAAATGATTTGGATGGATTTTAATGAAAATATTCAGAAATATGGTATCGTAGTATTTATTCAAGTCAATTAGGATAGAATATTATTGTAATACAAAAGTTTTTTAACTGAAAACCAATCAAAAAGCGATTACGGTAACATCTTTTGAACGAAAGAAAGCGAAAGTCATTGTTTTCGTCACGATTTTATCCCACTTTCCACTAATACGTACGTCATTTCAGCAAAAATATTACATTTCCGTGAATGCATTATACCATGCACAGTATGAATAGAATACCATTGTAATATCACGTTTCAGCAAAACTACTATTTATTTCCGAGAATATATTCATTCAGGCACAGCTAAGGTAAAATATACATGTGATGTAACAGTTTTTTAACTGAAAAGATTCGAAAAACACGTGTACCGTCTAGCTGATACTCAACAGCTGGTGGTGCGTCATGCGTCGTTGTAAACAATAGGAGGTTGAAGTAGATTACCGGGTATTATATTAAGTGTGAAATATCGAAAAGGTTTTTATTACCGGTATTTTTTGTAGATCAATGAGAACTGTGATACCGTATATGATATGATAAGTTAGCCTGTGCTAAGAACTTCAACATAGACTACTGAAAGCACGTTGTAAGGTAATTTAGCCTATTGTAAGTTGGTGAGCTTCATTTGCTGAAGGAAGTGCACAACTTTTCATTACTAATTGGTACATAGTTTACGTTTCCATTGTTTACTGGCAGTAAATGGTAAATATTTTTCATGTCTGAAGCTAAAAGTTGCTCCTCGCCCTTCCCATCATGCACGGGTTTAACCTAACAAAACTATTACGCATGTATAGGACGACCCCCCAATTTTTTTGCCTAAAAATTTGGTCTTAAAAACTCGAACTATACACGAGTATATACGGTAAATACAACCTCTCTCCAGTGTCCTCTTTTTTTTTTGTAAAGTTCAAATCTAACTCTATTATAATGTACATGCTTCACACCACTGAGGTTGAGCATAAAAGATTATATAAATATTAAATAAAAAATAAAACAAAAAAATTTGCACAAAAATTCATACCTGTATAGATCATGTTTACAGTTTTATAAACTCAACATACAGTACTGGTACTGTACAGGTATCCCTCTATTTATGATGAGATTGTTCCTGAAAAACCCTTCACAGGTCAAAATATTGTAAATTGGGATCATTATAACATGGGGTTCATGGGATATGTTCCTGGCCAGTCCTACACCTACACGTATCACCGAAAATAAAACAGCCTACACTGCTCTCACCATGTTCACAACAACAGAGGCAAAGCACTTTACGGTCACAAAAATCACTTCACAGTCACCAAAACAGAGTACAATGTGAACATTAATGATGTCCTCTTACTGTAAGGTAAAAAAAACACTGATGATAACAACACTGCTACCGACTGATAATCGTTGAGCTACACAATCACCATGAAGCAAAACTTAGGAGTGTCGTGAACAGGGTGGCTGCAGCTGACAAGTGCATCGAGAGATGCGTTCCATATTCTGCATTGGCTGAACGATGACCATTGTTCAAGCAAATTCTTTTTTATCATAAATAGGGGAGTGGTCTTAAAATATCACCAGCATCCAAGCGAAAAATCATAGATAAGGAGATCGTAAATTGGGGATGCAGATACCTGAACAGTAATACCCCGCTTTACGCGTTTCTACATTTACGCGGTACCCCGCCAGAACCGGAATTCCCACTTTATGCGGTGCATCTACTCATATACGCGAGAAGCAGCGCGGGCAGAGTGCGCACAAGGTCGCCCAGTCATCAAAACATGACCGAGTTCTTCACCCGCCACAGCCGGCCCAAGTCAGTGATAGCGAGGATATAGACTTATATGGACTTTGAGGGGTTTGACAAAGAGGCCCTGCAAGCCTCTGTGGTGGATAGTGATACAATTGATACAGGTGAGGGCCAATAATCTGCCCTCTGCCTCGGAACCAAACCTCCATCCCCGTGTGCCCAGCCATCTTTTCTACTAATGTAAGTGTTAAAAAACCTAATATTATTGATATTTCTTTTAATTATTAATTGTGTGTGCATACCATCATAAAATTAAGATGTTATTTTTACTACAACGTAGGTATTGTGTCTGAAAAAGTGGAGTTTGGGGGTCAGCCCAGTCTCTATTTAAATTAATCCCATATGTTCTTTTGTTCAGTTTACACGTTTCCCGCTTTACGCGGGCCTCCGTGGATTCAATTGACTGCGTAAAGCAGGGTTACACTGTATATAATTACGTGTACAGTGATCCCTCAGTTAACGAATTACCTTCCATAAGATTCTTCACTTAGGTTAACAAAAAAATTTCGGTTAACGAATTCCTTACGAATTTTTCCCAACATATTTTCACCTGCTCACCAGCTGTAGTATTAGTCCACCAATATAGTAATCGGTTTTAGGGCCTAAATTTGTTACCATTTGAGTAAATATCAAGAAGGTTGCACTATTCAATAAGTTTAAGTCTTATATTAATATTTTTAGTCATTTTAACAATTATTTAACATAATTGAGTACAGGAAACTAGTTTTTAGCGCGCCAAACAGCCACTTGACTCACCCAGAATGGCGTCAGTTTGTGTCTCTGCTCAGTGGAGGAAGCATCTTGCTTGAGACTCTCTTGAACATAAACTATTTTTACATTTTTACAGTACAATTATTGGTCATTCTGAAATTTATTTTACATATTGACAATACATAGTGCAGTGCAGTGTTGATTTAAAGAAAATAATCTTGAATTACACCAAGTGAACTAAAATTTTTTGGTGAAATGGCGACATGAAGCACGGGGTGACTTCTCTTCCACCCCAATGCATTCTCTTCTCCCTTCTACTCCACCCCCATTCTAATTCCTATCATCATCATCAACCAGGAGCCTTCTACATGCACACCTCAAAGTAAGTGTACTTTACTGCATTTATTTTTAGTTTGTATGTAATCTTCGGTGAGCTGGAACCAATTACCCAAAATCCCATTGAAACAATGGTTTCGGTTAACGAAATTTTCGGTAAACAAACGACCTTCTGGAACGAATTGTGTTCGTTAACCGAGGGACCACTGTACAGTATTATCAAAGTTTTACTAATACAGGTGTACCCCGACAACCGATGCATATAGGGACCGGGAAAAGTCGTTGGTTTGTGAATCAATGGTTATCAAAGCAATTAATCCTATAAGAACATCACAAATTCAGGGGGTTAGGGACTGGCCACCCCCCGAAAACTCCCATCTACCCTTGATATCTCTCTGTACTGCACACTGTCAAGCAAGAAAATAGAGCAGATATATAAAGCAAGCATAATAAGCCTTAAATAAGCAATGTAAAGCACAAATTGAGACTGTTATTTACCTGTGTTGAGGTTGGTAACCTCATGTCTCTACCACTCTTTGCTGGTCCATCACCACTCTTATTATGCCTTTTTACAACACATCAAGTTTCTCAGCACAAGAGGAACTATCACTGGGGCATTCAGGCATGATTGAATAACACACTAAGTCAGTAAAAAAAAAAAAAAAACACTAAGTCAGAGACACATAGTAAGTGTAAACAAAAGCAAATATG